CAGTGTCCCTGATCACCGCAGTTGCCCAGCAGTGTTTCTGATCGCCACACAAGTGGCCCAGCAGTGTCCTGATCATCGCAGTGGCCCAGCAGTGTCCATGGTCGCCACACAAGTGGTCCAGCAGTGTCCCTGATCACCGCAGTGTCCCTGATCACCGCAGTTGCCCAGCAGTGTTTCTGATCGCCACACAAGTGGCCCAGCAGTGTCCTGATCATCGCAGTGGCCCAGCAGTGTCCATGGTCGCCCGCACAAGTGGTCCAGCAGTGTCCCTGATCGCAGCAGTGTCCCTGATTGCCGCACAAGTGGTCCAGCAATGTCCCTGATTGCCGCACAAGTGGCCCAGCAGTGTCCCCAGCAGTGGTCCAGCTGTCCCTGATCACCGCAATGTCACTGATTGCCGCACAAGTGGTCCAGTAGTGTCCCTGATCGCCGCAGTGGCCCTGATTGCTGCAGTGGCCCTGACCACCACACAAGTGGCCCAGCAGTGTCCCTGATCACCGCATTGGCCCAGCAGTGTTCCTGATCGCCACACAATTGGCACAGCAGTGTCCCTGATCGCCGGACAAGTGGCCCAGCAGTGCCCCTGATCACCGCAGTGTCCCTGATCACCGCAGTAGTCCATCAGTGTTTCTGATCGCCACACAAGTGGCCCAGCAGTGTCCTGATCATCGCAAGTGGCCCAGCAGTGTCCCTGATCGCCACAGAAGTGGTCCAGCAGTGTCCCTGATCGCCGCAGTGTCCCTGATCACCGCAGTGTCCCTGATTGCTGCACAAGTGGTCCAGCAGTGTCCCTGATCACCGCAGTGTCCCTGATTGCCGCAGTGGCCCCAGCAGTGTCCCTGATCACCACACAAGTGGCCCAGCAGTGTCCCTGATCACCACACAAGTGTCCCTGCCCAGCAGTGTCCTGATCGCCCGCAGTGGCCCAGCAGTGTCCATGGTCGCCACACAAGTGGTCCAGCAGTGTCCCTGATCACCGCAGTGTCCCTGATCACCGCAGTTGCCCAGCAGTGCCCTGATCGCCACACAAGTGGCCCAGCAGTGTCCTGATCATCGCAGTGGCCCAGCAGTGTCCATGGTCGCCCAACACAAGTGGCCCAGCAGTGTCCCTGATCGCCGCAGTGTCCCTGATTGCCGCACAAGTGGTCCAGCAGTGTCCCTGATTGCCGCACAAGTGGCCCAGCAGTGTCTCTGATCACTGCAGTGGCCCAGCAGTGTCCCTGATCACCGCAGTGTCACTGATTGCCGCACAAGTGGTCCAGTAGTGTCCCTGATCACCGCAGTGGCCCTGATTGCTGCAGTCCATCACCGCAGTGGCCCTGATTGCTGCAGTGGCCCTGACCACCACACAAGTGGCCCAGCAGTGTCCCCTGATCACCGCATTGGCCCAGCAGTGTTCCTGATCGCCACACAATTGGCACAGCAGTGTCCCTGATCGCCGGACAAGTGGCCCAGCAGTGCCCCTGATCACCGCAGTGTCCCTGATCACCGCAGTAGTCCATCAGTGTTTCTGATCGCCACACAAGTGGCCCAGCAGTGTCCTGATCATCGCAGTGGCCCAGCAGTGTCCCTGATCGCCGCAGAAGTGGTCCAGCAGTGTCCCTGATCGCGCAGCAGTGTCCTGAGTGTCCCTGACAAGTCGCCGCAGTGTCCCTGCCCACAAGTGTCCCTGCATGTGCCCACAAGTGGTCCAGCAGTGTCCCTGATCACCGCAGTGTCCCTGATTGCCGCAGTGGCCCAGCAGTGTCCCTGATCACCACACAAGTGGCCAGCAGTGTCCCTGATCGCCGGACAAGTGGTCCCCAGCAGTGCCCCTGATCACCACAGTGTCCCTGATCACCGCAGTTGCCCAGCAGTGTTTCTGATCGCCACACAAGTGGCCCAGCAGTGTCCTGATCATCGCAGTGGCCCAGCAGTGTCCATGGTCGCCACACAAGTGGTCCAGCAGTGTCCCATTGCCCCTGATTGCCGCAGTGTCCCTGATCGCCACACAAGTGGCCCAGCAGTGTCCCCCTGAGTCACCGCAGTGTCCCTGATCACCGCAGTGGCCCAGCAGTGTCCCTGATCACCGCAGTGGCCCAGCAGTGTCCCTGATCGCCGCACAAGTGGTCCAGCAGTGTCCCTGATCACCATGCAGTGGCCCAATCGGTGTCCCTGACCACCTTACAGTGTGCCTGTTCATACAGTGTCCCTGATCTCTGCCACACCAGTGGATCCTGTTCACTGCCATCGTCTGTGAGGAGAGAGATCCAGTACAGCTAACTGTGAGTAATTTTTCAGCCTTTGCACAGAGTTTTTTTTTTCCAAAACAGCAATAGGTAGTTAAGAAATTAGATGTGTGATTTTTGCCCTTAGAACGCTAACAGGTGCTTATTGGATGTGGAACCCCTCTATGTGGCCAGACTGTGAAAAAGTCTCACACATTTGGTATATCACCATATTCAGGAAGAGTTAGAGAATGTGTTTTGGGGTGTAATTTTAAGTATGCCTATGCAGTGTATTAGAAATATCTCATAGATTGACAACTTTGTGTAGAAAAAAAATACATTTTCATTTTCTTTTCGCATTTTCCAAAAACTTGTGGCAAAAAATGAAGTCTTCAGAAGACTCCGCATGCCTCTTAAAACATACCTTGGGGTGCTTGCTTTCCAAAATGGGGTCATTTTGTGGATAATTCCATTATCCTGATGCTCCATGACCTCCAAAACAGCAATAGGTAGTTAAGAAATTAGATGTGTGATTTTTGCCCTTAGAACGCTAACAGGTGCTTATTGGATGTTGAACCCCTCTATGTGGCCAGACTGTGAAAAAAAGTCTCACACATTTGGTATCGCCATATTCAGCAGGAGTTAAAGAATGCGTTTTGAGGTATCATTTTAAGTATGCCTATGCTGTGTAATAGAAATATCTCATAGATTGACAACTTTGCGTAAAAAAAAAATACATTTTTTCATTTTCTTTTCACATTTTCCAAAAAAACGTGGCAAAAAAATGAAGTCTTCAGAGGACTCCCCATGCCTCTTAAAACATACCTTGAGGTGTTTTCTTTCGAAAATGGGGTCTCTTTGTGGGTAATTCAATTGTCCTGGTGCTCCAGGACCTCCAAAACTGTGATAGACAGTCAAGAAATTAGATGTATAATTTTTGCCCCTAGAACGCCTAAGGGTGCTTATTGGATGTGGGGCCCTTCTATGTGGTTAGGCTGTGAAAAAGTTTTACACATGTGGTATCGCCATACTCAGGATGAGTAGCAGAATGTGTTTTGGGATGTAATTGCAAGTATGCCTATGCCGTGTGAGAGAAAGAACTTGTTAAATGACAACTTTGTGGAAAAAAAAAAAAGAATTTTGTTTACTTTCATCAATTCCTTAAAAAATTGGCAAAAAATGACAACTTCAAAAAACTCCCCATGCCTCTCATTAAATACCTCAGACTGTCTACTTTCCAAAAAGGGGTAGTTTGGGGGGTATTTGTACTGTCCTGGAATTTTAGGGCCCCAAGAAATTATATAGGTAGTCCGTACATCAGGATTGATACATTTTCAAATATATATACCGTGGTCTGTGGACTCTATAACTTTCACAAAGACTAAATAATACACACTGATTTGGGTTATGTCTACCAAAAAAATGTAGCACAATGGATTTTGGCCTAAATTTATGAAGAAAGTATATTTATTTGTAAAATTTAGTATCAAATACTAAGAAAAACATGTTTTTTTTTTCAAGATTTTCAGTCTTTTTTCATTTTTCTAGCAAAAAATAAAAACCCCAGCGATGATTAAATACCACCAAATTAAAGCTCTATTTGTTTGAAAAAAATGATGATAATTTCATTTAGATACAGTGTTGTATGCCTGAGTAATTGTCATTCACAATGTGAGAGCGCTGAAAGCTGAAAATTGCCCTGGACAGGAAGGGGGGTAAAAGTGTCCGGACAGGAAGTGGTTAAAGGTCATCAGCTGCCTAAATTGATTACTTTTGTGCAGGTGCCTGTGGGTTGAATCACTGACTATTTATTTATTTTTTATACAGTCTTTCCTGAAATAATTTTCCCAGCATAGTTTGCTTTTCTGCCTGTCCTCCAGAACCATAACAAACAGTTGCTGCAGTTTTCCCTCTGTTTTTGTGATGTGTGTATTTTACAGCCAAATTGATAACCGTGTAAAACTAAAGGCTCCTGTGTGACAGTCTAAACAAGTTCCAAGTTCAGTTATTATGCGATGCATACCTGATAAAGTAAACAAAAAGAAAAAAAAAACTTTCCTTACCTTCCCTCACTGAGGTAAATCCTTCTTAACTATGTCCCTCACAGTCCCTCTCCCAGAGACTGCAGCCCACAGTGGGAGGGTTTCAGCAACGGAACCAGTGTTGACCATCCAGGAAAGGTGTGGCCAGAACTAGATGTGGTCAAGTGCTCCTTGACAAGTTTACAGGCTTGTGAATCAGTAGTGACAATGCTGATAACCATGTCCCCTGCAACATTTCATCCCACTGTAGTGCAAGCAGGCATAGCCTACATGAGAGTGGCAATGCTGGTGTGAGTTCAAGAGCAATGCAGCATTGTTGTCGCACCATCACATGGAGCTGTGTTGGATCAACTTCACTGACAAGCTCAACAGGTATTTGTGGGACTTTGCAGGGGACTAAGGGAAAACTGAAGTGCAGATGCACTTATAACTACAGCGCAACTAAACCCATTGATTTATCAGTTTCCCAAAACAGTTACATTGAAGGCGTGCTGTGAAATGATATTTGGCACAATTGCTTGTGCTATCATCTGAACTGTCAAACCATCAAATGGCTGCTGTCATAACTAATCACATGTGCAGCACCATGGAATCTTCCTTGGCCATAAAGGATAGGAGGTTTAATTCTGTTTAAGTGATGCAGCACATTTTTTTTTCAATGGGATGTCATTGTTCTACTTTAATTAGATTGCTCATATTAACCCAACTATGGTTTTTGTTTAAATTATTATTTATTTTTTTTAAACTGTAGATGTCCACTTGGAGTTAGAAGAAAGACTTGCCAAATTCATGAAAACAGAAGAAGCAATTCTTTATTCATATGGATTTGCTACCATTGCAAGCGCTATCCCTGCATACTCAAAAAGGGGGGACATTGTATTTGTGTAAGTACTAACTAGTTAGTAAACTACTTGCATGTCATCTGTTTTTGACTGTTCATGGTGGGGAAAACTTTCTTTCTAAAATGTGTGTGTGTGTGTGTGTGTGTGTGTGTGTGTGTGTGTGTGTGTATGCGTAGAAGTTGCCAACTGTCTGTCTGCAGAGTCAATAGCTAAAGACCTCCAAACTTTTTGTGGGGCCCTCACATTAGCACAACAGTGCATAGAGCACTTCATGGAATGGGTTTCTATGGCCAAGCAGCTGTATCCAAGCCTTATATCACCAAGTGCAATGCAGAGTGTTGCATGCAGTGGTATAAAGCACGCTGCCACTGGACTCTCTGGAGATATGTTCCCTGGAGTGATGAATCACGCTTCTCTGTCTCTCAATCTAATGGACATGTCTGGGTTTGGCAGTTGCCGGTAGAACATTACTTGCCTGACTGCATTGTGCCAAGTGTAAAGTTTGGTGGAGGGAGGATTATGGTGTGGGGTTTGTTTTTCAAGAGTTGTGCTTGGCCACTTAGTGTCAGTGAAGGGAACTCTCTTAAGAAGTCAGCATACCAAGACATTTTGGACAAATTTCATGCTCTCAACTTTGTGGGAAGTGTTTGGGAATGGCCCCTTCCTATTCCAAAATGACTGCGCACCAGTGCACAAAGCAAGGTCCATAAAGACAAGGATGAGCGAGTTTGGGGTGGAGAACTTGACTGGCCTGTACAGAGTCCTGACATCAACCTGATAGAACACCTTTGGGATGAATTAGAGAGCAGACGGCGAGAGAGGCCTTCTTGTCTGACATCAGTGCCCGACCTCCCCGCGCTTCTGGAAGAATGGTCAAACATTCCCATAGATACACTCCTAAACCTTGTGGTCAGCCTTACCAGAAGAGTTGAAGCTGTTATAGCTGCAAAGGGTGGGCCAACTCAATATTGAACCCTATGGCCTAAGACTGGGATACCATTAAAGTTCATGTGCGTGTAAAGGCAGGTGTCCCAATAGTTTTGGCGTGTGTGTGTGTTTGTTTGTTTTGTTTTTTAATGGTAAAGCCTGTAAACTTCTTAGGATTTTAATACCAGCAAATAAAGGGAGAACAAACAAAATAGTACAGTGAAAACTATGTTGGCAACAGAAACATCAGCATTGTTGGTAATAGGCCTGGTGAGTGACTCAATCCAGCAACCGCAAAAAGGTAACCAGATGGAGAAAGCCAAGGTGACCACAGTATCCAAAAAAAAAAAAAAAAAATGCAGACACTGAAAGTTGGTATAGCTATGACTGATAGAATTGCAGGAAACCTAAACTAGGTCATCAAAATACTCTTACAAGAAGATCAATGACAGGGCATAGTGACAGACAAAATGGTTATCTTCTTCTTGCACAAATACAGGTAGCCTGTAAGCAGCTGGGTAATTGTATTAAAAAAGGAACAATGAGTCATGTCTACTAATGAGCAAGACAAATCGGTCCAAGGTCAGTTCAGCTGACAGTTCAGAACTGCAGAGGCTAGATGTGAACTAAGTGGATCATCTGAGGAGTGACTGCACTGAGGACAGAAGTGTGCAACACAAAGTTATCCCTTTGGGCTGCTGCTGAGACATCCAGTGAGGGAGCAAAGCACTCCTAAGTGGGTGGGGCAGTCACAGAAGGCAAGTAGCCATGAAACAGTAGAGATGGTTAGAAGTGCCGGTACTCACAGTTGCCTCCTGGTCAGGAGGCAAGGAGATGCCACAATCCACAAATATAATCAACAGCATCAGGGCTCATCCTCAAATATCAGCAGAGAATGAGGTGGATCACAAGGATTGGATATGGACTTCCATCATCACTGAGGGAGGGCTGCTGAAGGCAGGCAGGTTCTGGGCTCCTGGGGGAAATCTAGCCACTTCTCCACAACAACAGGTTCGGCACTCAGAAATCTGAAGAGAGATGGAAGTTCATCTGGGGTATGGAGCTGGAAGGTGGCTCTCTGCTAATTGATCAAGACATGGAAGGGATGACCCCAGTTGTATAAAGCCCCATGATCATAGGTCACGTTGAGAAGGGCGTCACTGTCCTTCGCATTTCAAACGTTGCTCAGGTCAGGCAGGAGGGCGATGTGTGCATAATTTCTTTTTTGAAAAAGTACACCCTGCATAAAATCTCACAAGAGCGAGACTAGCAATCGCTCCGCAGACCTGAAATTATGTAGACCCTGTCCAGCTCAATGAGATCGGTGGGCTGTTTCCCAAGTACCTCATAGGGGACTGCTGTGACGGTGGCTTTTGGGTCAGCGCTGGAGGTATCCTCGGGGATCCCCCTTAGATAGATGTTGTTCCTCTGAGTGGTTTTCTCAATCTTCAGCTCCCAGGTACAGGGAGGACACAATGTCTGGGAGTGGGCATGCTCCAGGGCATCTAGGCTTGAACCCAGTTGTTGAAAGTGGGCATTCAGATATTCCAATCTAACAGAAGTGCAAGCTACTTGTTGCTTCAGGACATCTATCTCTGACTTGAGTGCCTCCTTGATCTCTGTTGCACACTTGTTGAGATCACCCCTAGTATGGAGAGACTGGAACAGAGAGAGGAGCTCTGGTGCCACTGCTGTGGGGACTTTTTCAGATGGATGTGTATCCTCAGAGCACTGTGGAGGAAGCTGTAATGGCCAGGCAGGACTTTGAATCGGAGGAGGAGGCGGCTGATCCAGTGGCGGAGAGGCAGTGGAGGCCTCGCTTCCCAGGGAGGCGGCTACACTGCACAGATATTGTGGCCATTTCAACCACTGCCATGCAAGCAGGAAGTGCAGGAGGTCAGTGGGGTGGTGAGATGGTGAAGTACTCCTAGTAAGCAAGATCGTATTATGAAACCATTACCCGTACAGAAATCAAACTTAATAGTTCTATCTAACTGAACCAGTCTTTAAAGTAAGCCTGTAAAAAGTATAAACACAGCTATTGTTGACCTTACTCTGTAAATGCTATTTGCCTGGCTGGCTCAGTGCTTTCTAAATCATTTCCCACATAAGTCATAATGACCAGGAATGTGGGGAGTGCAAAGGTCAGGCGTCTAAATATGCTAGTACTTCTAACATTCCCTTTCCGCCCATGACTGGATGAAGGAGCACAGGGACAACTTTGGACAGCAACATTGTCAGAGTGGGGACACTAATACAGGAGGAGTGTTACTGACCAGATCACCAGGTGAAAACCGAGGGGGGGGGGGGGGGGGGGGGGGGGAAGCCTAAAAAAGAAACTTAATGCAGCCACCACATCTAAGGGCCAAGATGACCGACAGGCAATTACCATTTAATTTAAAGAAATGGAAGACTCCAAGTTTCTCTTGTGATGGGTTTACTTTAACCTCTAGCCTACAGGGCACTTATACCCCCTTCCTGCCCAGGCCAATTTCCAGCTTTCAGCGCTGTCACACTTTGAATGACAATTGCGCGGTCATGCAACATTGTACCCATATGAAATTTTTATAATTTTTTTTGAGACAGATAGAGATTTCTTTTGGTGGTATTTAATCACCTCTGGGATTTTTTTTTCTTAAACCAAAAACCACTGAAAATTTTGAAAGAAAAAAAAACGTTTTTTCTTAGTTTTTGTTTTACAATTTTGTAAATAAGTGATTTTTCTCCTTCACTGATGTGCGCTAATGAGGCTGCAGTGATGGGCACTGATAGGCTGCACTGATGGACACTGATAGGTGGCACTGATGAGGAGGCACTGGTAGGTTGCACTGATGGGCATTGACAGGCATCACTGATACATGGCACTGTTAGGCGGCACTGATTGGCATTGATGGGTGACATTAAAAGGCAGCTCAGATGGGCACTGATATGTGGCATTGATGTGCACTGGTATGCACTGATATGTGGCACTGATGGGCACTGGCAGGTGGCACTGATGGGCACTGACACTGATGAGCACTGACAGGTGGCACTTCTGGGGCCACACTGATCATCAGGGCACACTGATCATCAGTGACCTGATGATTAGTGTACATGTCCCCTCCGCGGAAAGCCGATTACTGGCTCTCCTCTCAAGCTGTCAGCGTGACAGCTCGTGAGGAGAGAAATGCTGATAATCGGCATTTCCGTGTTTACATGTGATCAGCTGTGATTGGACACAGCTGGTCACATGACCGAGCCGCCATCTTCGGCTCTTTCTGTGATCCGTTGTGTCCAAGGGACACAGCGGACCAGCGTTCGCCGTGCTGCGCGCATGCACAGTGAGAATGGTAGGATGTCGTATGACGTCCTATCAGAACGAGAGAACCACCTTGTGCCCGTCATTGTACTATAGGGCGGGCAGAAGGTGGTTAAAGGAGTACACTTCTGAAATGCATAAATTTGACTAGCTTTTCTTGTCAAAGAAAATCTCTGATTGCACTCAATTTTTTTTTTTTTTTGCACTTCCTCATTAAAATAAACCTATATCAATGTTTTATAAAGAAAATTAATCTTAGCTGTCTGGTGTTACCTTATCAGTGCCACTCCTAGCTGCTGGAGCCACTCAAAATACAGTGCAGTATGCCAAAATTTGACTTTTTGAAAGTCAGTATTTTGATAAGGCTAGGTATACAATCCTATATGACAGCTCAGATTAATGTATAAAGTAATGCATTGTGATAGGTGTATATGTATGCCTATACCTGGAAACCAACAGAGTTGACAACCTAAACTTTTTGCTGTAGAGCGCCGAGCTTTGTTTACATTATACAACTTTTATATAGGTTTATTTTAATGCTGCTTTTACTAAATAAAACCACTATTAAACAACGCATCTCTCTGACTCTATGCATATCTAATCCCAAAATGATAAATTTCCTTTTTTCATGTGCGTTTTTTTTTTTTTTTTTTTTTTCTCATTTATTTTGACCTGGTGATCTTGCCAGTAACACACTTCCTGTCCAAAGGTGATAGTGCTCACTTACTGCACTCTATCTCTAGAGGAACAGTGCTTTCACCTTAGGCTACTCTCTTGATTTGGACCACAAATGCCTCCTTCTCTCCTTAACTTCCTTACATAAGGAGGAGTTATCTGTAGTTCACAGAAGATAAATGGGGAAACCTGATAATGATGTTTTGACATACCAATTTAGTGCATGGGAAGTTACAAGGACACTGAAATTCTAGCAGAATCAACTAGTATTTGTCTGTATTTAAGCAAAATGTTCTTAGCTTAAACAGCAAAAACTAATGCAGCCACTACTGCTAAGGATTGGCAAGCTGCAATATATTACTATGTTTTTGACTTTAGATATCCTTTTAATACTGAACCAGGGAAAGAAAAACTTTTACCTTTTGCAATTGTGTTCCCCTCCTAATGCAAGAATTAACTGCTTATTTTGCTTTGGGTATGATGAATATTGTGAGAATCCCACCCTATTCTTCACTCCCCTAGCAGTCAGCGCTGTCCAACTTTTCTAGAATGTTTCCCTTTCCTCAGTATTTTGCCGTACAGTGCCGGACTGCTGGTCCTGCACTATATGGGATGACGTGGAAAAGTTGGGACCAATCAGGCAGTGAGGAAAGAGGCTTTGGGGGTCTAATCCTATGAAGAAGAGGAAGCCTGGGGGAGGGTGGATTAAAGTAAGTATAACCCCTTATTCATCATCACCTAGAGAATGTGACATGTTTACAATTGCAGTAGGGTGTACGCCACAAGGATAAAGTTTTTGTCCCCCAGCATTGAGCTTTACATTATTATTGCCATCATTAGAATTGCCAAATACAGCTTAGCAGTATATCAGACTATTTGTGTCTATTATTCCCCCAGCATTGAACTTTAAATGATTATTGCCATTAAACTAGCCAAGTACAGTTTAGCAGTGTATCAGACTATCTGTGTCTATTATCTGCTGCATGACTAGTTAATACTAGTGTCACATTTCTGTAGCCTTGTGTATGCTTTTGGAATAGGAAAATGGCAGTACATGTAGCTGGCTCAATAAAAATCTTTTTTTTTTCTTTGGAATAAACAAGGTAGAGTTCCACTTTGTAATTTGACGAACAGTGCTAACCTGTAGTTTTACTTTGAAACCCAATACACTTTCTCCTTCATATTAAATCATTCACAGGGATCACTATTCCTCTCACAACAGTTAATGCATCTTAAAGGATCATTGATAAGCTTCTGCATTCCTCATCAGTGCTCTTTCAGGCAATTCAAGTGAAGTCATATTTATTTTTGCCACTCGTTTAGCTGAAAATACTTGATTGAAAATACAGCTTTGCACTACCACTTCTAATTTACATTTTGGCAAGAAGCTAGAGGGATGTTTGCAGTTTGGAAGCTGACTGGTGTGAGACTTTTGAGCAGGCTGACTATAAAATACATTTTCCTTTTAATTGCTGCCCATATTGTATTAAATGTAGATTTTTATGTATGTACTGTGATTGTGACTGCAAGGGACAAACACACAGTCAAATGTGGAATTAGAATTCCCAGTGTGTTCCTCAAATTAACTTGCTGTAACTTGTGGTTCAGAAGAAGCTTCCATTACCAAACACCCTGCAAGACTGCACTACAGTTTCCTTGTAAGAGGTCTGTCTCTTATTGTTCATTCTCTGTGATCTTACAGTATAGCATATCTTTTTATTAGTCAAGTACAGCTGTGTTGCTCTGGGGCAAAGTTATTATTTTTATTTATATATGACTGAAACCATGTGTGCAGATCTGTGCAATCTAAACCCCGAAACATACTTTAATATACATGGATACTGATCCTGTGTGGGGAGAGAAGTGAAGCAATGGGAGCAGAGGGCTGCCAAAATACTTAAACTGAACAGTTTTAATGTGCTTTTTACAAGGAGGACTGTAACTTGTGCTGTTTATTTTCAATCTGTACATCCAAAAACAAAATCCAGTAAGGATTACTATATCATATGCAAATTGAACATGTCTTCTTTATATATAATTTAACTTAATTATACAGTATAGGACACAGGCTAGATATTTATAGACCCTGAATTTTAGGCTTCTACCCTCAGGTGATTAGTATTCTGGCAAAAACATTGCTCGGTAGTCCACCTGGGCATCCCCTGTCCTTAGATTATGAATCTCTTCTCCTCTATGGACAGCTTTTGTATGCCTAACTAGTTTTCTGCATTGTCCCCTTTATTTTATTTTGAATTCCTCAATCAACTCTCACTGCCTTCTACTATAATAATAAGAAGTTATGCATTTGAATTAGTGTAACCACAATAATACTTTAGGAACTGTGCCAGAACCCTATGCTGTGGGAAAAGTCTGTAATATTGCCTTGGGGACTGTATCCTGCTTTGGCACTCCCCTTGGCACTGAATGCAATGTGTAGTTAGCAGCAAGGTGCTATACGGTTCTAGGGCTGTGGTCTTTGTGGTTCTCAGACCCTGCAAACCCTCAAGGGGTATGACCACTGTGGCGGACAAAGCCCTGACCCTTATAAGGACCAGTGACTTAAGATTGGTTCCTCCTGGTTATATTGTAGCTTTACAGGAAATGAGACCCAATACCTCAATTAGTTGCAGTACATTTATTTAAATGTTCCCTGAATAGTGTTCCATTTATGCAAAACTGCCAAAACTATTCACTTATCGGCTGCTTACATTTTCATAATTGGTGGTAAAAATTCCACCATTTGGAGCTTAGTCTCAGTCAGTTGACTAAGTGTTACATCACACCACTGATCGCACTTTTCCCACCACTTCTGCTTGTAGCCTTTTAAAGGTACCCAGGCACTTCCTGAAAGTACATGTTCCATAGGGTGCTCTTGTTTGAGCCCAACCTCTGTGGCTATGGGTTGGAGGTGCCAGATGGATATCAGGGATGGATGGAAGCAATAACACTGAGGCAGCTCTCTTCTTAGAGTGGAGACAAGGCTCTAATGCAATAAACATAAAGAAAGGAAAGGCGCCTCTAAGTGTAGTTTTAACAGTTCGTGAATTGCACTTCCAGGATAAAAGTGTTAAAAAGGCTCATCATGTAGTGTTCATGGTTCCTGATGAGACGTCCAGCGGCAGTGCGGTCCATGAGAGTCAGGAAGTCAGAGCAGGGATATCTCTGTAACCACAACGAGGCATGGAGCACAGAGTAGGATGTGACAGGAGAAAGGGGCGGTAACGCGTTTCGGAGCATGAGCAGTAAGCTCCTTCTTCAGACCTAAGCCCCAATACGGAGCTGACAATTTTATAGTGTGAAGGGAATCAGGGAGGCAAGTGGCTATTGCTATAATACTTCTAGATTAAAAAATATATCTATATATGTAAAGCTGGCATAATAGATAATGATAAAAGGTAAATAAATGAGATGGAAAATGACTAAATTAAAAAATGAACAATAATGAATAAATACTAAGAAATGAGAGTATACAGGTGATATAGGTCCAAAAGTATTATAGCAATCTTCCTGTTTTTTATTGTATTTATTGCTGTACGGTTCTAACAATGTAGTTCAATGAGTAGATCCTTAGGAACTAGTAGCCACTTGCCTCTCTTGCACTATATGCCAAAAGTATTGGGACACCTGCCTTTTACACGCACATGAACTGCATCCCAGTTTTAGTCTGTAGGGTTCAATATTGAGTTGGCCCACCCTTTGCAGCTATAACAGTTTCAACTCTTCTGGGAAGGCTGTCCACAAGGTTAAGGAGTGTGTCTATGGGAATGTTTGACCATTCTTCCAGAAGCACATTTGTGAGGTCAGTCACTGATGTTGGACGAGAAGGCCTGACTCGCAGTCTCTGTTCTAATTCATCCCAAAGGTGTTCTGCTGTGTTGAGGTCAGGACTCTTTGCAGGCCAGTCAAGTTCCTCCACCCCACACTCGCTCATCCATGTCTTTATGGACCTTGCTTTTTGCACTGGTGCACAGTCATGTTGCAACAGGAAGGGGCTTTCCCCAAACTGTTCCCACAAATTTGGGAGCATGAAATTGTCCAAAATGTCTTTGGTATGCTGACACTGAGTTCCTTTCATGGGAGCTAAGTGGCCTAGCCCAACCCTGAAAAACAGCCCCACACCATAATCCCCCCTCCACCAAACTTTACACTTGGCACAATGCAGTCAGGCAAGTACCGTTCTCTTGGCAGCCACCAAACCCAGACACGTCCATTGGATTGCCAAACAGAGAACACATCTCCACTGCTCTAGGGTCCAGTGGCGTCGTGCTTTACACCACTGCATCCGATGCTTTGCATTGCACTTGGTGATGTAAGGCTTGGATGTAGCTGCTTGGCCATGGAAACCCATTCCTTGAAGCTCTATACGCACTGTTGTGCTAATCTGAGGGCCACATGAAGTTTGGAGGTCTTTAGCTATTGACTCTGCAGACAGTTGGCGACTTCTGCGCACTGTGTGCTTTAGCATGCGCTGACCCCGCTCTCTCATTTTACATGGCCTACCACTTGGTGGCTGAGTTGCTGTTGTTCCCTGTTGCTTCCACTTTGTTATAATACCACTAACAGTTGACTGGAATATTTAGTAGCAAGGAAATTTCACAGAAGGGTCTATTGCATAGGTGACCACCTATCATGGTACTACGCTTGAATCCACTAAGCTCCTGAGAGCGACCCATTCTTTCACAAATGTTTGTAGAAGCAGATTGCATGCGTAGGTGCTTGATCTTATACACCTGTCGCTATGGAGGCAATTGAAACATCTGTAAGGGTGTCCCAATACTTTTGGCAATATAGTGCATATCTTTGTAAATGTAATGGTGACATTGTACAAAGTCACAGAGCAGAGCTGTGGGAGGAATCCAGCAGACCCCACCGACTGCAGGCTACCTGAAGTGAATTATAGGAGAGGGCAGAAACCAGACCATTCACCATCCATAAGAAGAGGGAGCAGCAGTAAACCAGTCTTTGCCAAGCCCTGCAAACTTTCACACTTGATTACTGAGTAAACCAGTAAAATAGACACAAAGCACACCAAGACTGAAGTAAGAATACATGTCTCCTGTATTTACACAATATTTGCATATCCCTGAATTCAGCTTTAAGGAATTTCAGTATCATTTTCCTTGCCTAAATTCCCCATGTCCAATATTGCAGTGTTTTTCAACCTTTTTTGTGCAAAGGCACACTTTTTTCATGAAAAAAATCACGAGGCACACCACCATTAGAAAATGTTAAAAAAATTTACCTCTGTGCCTATATTGACTATATATAAAGTAATTCTCTTGAATAGGAATCAAACACAAAGAAATTATTTTATAATTACTTTATTATGAAATAATAAAGTATTTTATAATTGGACCCGGGGGCCGGACCAAGAGTAGATGAATGATGTGTATGTGTCATCCATAGTAAGTATAGTAATATTCCCCCATAGTAAGCATAGTAATTAATCCCCCATATAGTAATTCATCCCCCATAGTAATTCATCCCCCATAGTAATTCATCCCCCATAGTAATTCATCCCCCATATAGTAATTCAGCCCCCATATAGTAATTCATCCCCCATATAGTAATTCATCCCCCATATAGTAATTCATCCCCCATATAGTAATTCATCCCCCATATAGTAATTCATCCCCCATATAGTAATTCATCCCCCCTATAGCAATTCATCCCCCCATAGTAATTCATCCCCCATAGTAATTCATTCCCCCATAGTAAATTCATCCCCCCTATAGCAATTCATCCCCCATAGTAATTCATCCCCCATATAGTAATTCATCCCCCATAGTAATTCACCCCCCATATAGTAATTCACCCCCCATATAGTAATTCATCCCCCATAGTAATACATCCCCCATATAGTAATTCATTCCCCATATTAATTCATCCCCCATATTAAGTCCCCAAGCCCCCCGTGTCAATTCACTTACCTTTGCGCCGCGCGTTCCTCTCGCCGTTCCGGTGTAGGTCTCCTATGAGGATCTGTCCCCCTCGACGTATCTGCGCATGTGCCAGTTTCAGGCATTAGCAGCCGATCGGCAATCTCCGGCACATGCGCAGATACGTCGAGGGGGACAGATCATCCTGACAGTATCACGCTCCGTGGGCCGGATTAAAAGGTCCGCCGGGCCGTATACGGCCCGCGGGCCGTAGTTTGCCCGTCTATTTGTGAGCCGAGGCAATTTTTCCCACGGCACACCAGACAATATCTCATGGCACACTAGTGTGCCGCGGCACAGTGGTTGAAAAACGCTGCAATATTGTACATCAGATTGGATTGATTGTCGTCGTATCTTAGATTTTTGTACTTTTTATTGTGCTGATTTTACAGTTCTCGTTTTTCCAGGGATGAAGCTGCATGTTTTGCAATTCAGAAGGGGCTGCAGGCATCAAGAAGTAGCATCAAGTACTTTAAACACAATGATATGAATGACTTGGAGAGGTTGTTAAAGGAGCAGGAAGTGGAAGACCAAAAGGTAAATTCCTATCTATTGAATACACGAAAGATGTAAACCTACTTGTTTATATTATGGCTGGGTTTTTATATTATGGATTTTTATATTATGGCTTGCTGTTAACCCTTATATTTGTACATTTTTTGTCGAATGCTTCTGCCTGGCAAGTTAACAGTAGTTATAAAATTCTAAACTGTGACTACAGGACCTACCCATTACATAATTAAGTAGTGCTGCAAAGACATGTTTAATAGTGGTGTAGTGGTTCTTTTGTAATTTAATGTAAAAGCCTGTCTAAGGCTAGGTTCACACTGTGTGGGGGTTGTGCAGTTTTGTTTTTGCTTGAGCACAGCAGCCCCTTCATTCGATCGGGCTGCTGTACCTGCAGGAAACGTGGGGGAAAAGTCTCTCGCCTTTTTTTTTTTTTTTTTTTTTTTTTTTTTTTTTTTTTTTAATTCATCCGTATGGTTCAGCGGCACCATCCAATTTTGCATTCCCAAAACCACCCTGCACATCTGCATAAGAGCAGCGCATTTTGTCTGCGGGTCATTGACCGCTTGCTAATAGCACATGTTGCCTGACCTATATGTATTGAATCTGGATAAACACTTGCAAGACATCTTAAAATTTTGTAAATTGGAACAAAATTTAGATGTCTTTTCAGAAGATCATTGTTCAAACTGTTTTTCTTTAGCAAACAATTCAAAGATTTTGTTTGTGAACTTGTAGGAGAGAGGATAGGAACATCCAACTGTCAGCTGTGTAATTTCTCTCACAGTACTGAGGTTTTGCATACAAGAAGGAAGTCTGTTTGCACTGTTTGATAGACTGGAATCACATTTTTTTTTCCTGATGCTTTTTCAATTGAAATTAATGTAAACACATTATAACACCTGCATTGCAGTTTATGATGTGTTAAAACCCATATCGTGACTTGAACAAACACACTAATGCTTGTGCAAAATATTGTGTGGTGATATGCAATGTAAAGTTCATTGCCATTCTTTTTGAAACATTTACATTCATTTCAATGGATAAAGGCATTAAGCAAAAATTGCATCAAAATTCAAAGGTATGAATGGGCTCTTAGAGGCATATTTGATTTGATTGACTTACACAGTAGGAGTTTGATCCATATACAGTGCATCCAGAAAGTATTTACAACGCTTAACTTATGCCACATTTTGTTATTTTACAGCCTTATTCCAAAGTGGCTTAAATTAATTTTTTTTCCTCAACATTCTACAAACAATACCCCATAATGACAACATGAAAGAAGTTGGTTTTGAAATCTTTGCAATTTCTTAAAAAAAAAAAAAAACAAAAAAACACATGTACATAAGTATTCACAGCCTTTGCCATGACACTCAAAATTGACCTCTGGTGCATCCTGTTCCCACTGATCACCCTTGAGTTGTTTCCACAACTTGAATGGAGTCCACCTGTGGGAAATTCAGTTGATTGAACATGATTAGGAAAGTCATAAACCTGACTATATAAGGTCCCACAGTTAACTGTGCATGTCAGAGCACAAATCAAGCCATGAAGTCCAAGGAATTGTCCATAGACCTCCAAGACAGGATTGTATCAAGGCACAGATCTGGGGAAGGGTACAGAAAATTTTCTGAAGCATTGAAGGTCCCAATGAGCACAGTGGCCTCCATCATCCGTAACTGGAAGAAGCTGGGAACCACCAGGAATCTTGCTAGAGCTGGCCGCCCGGCCAAAATGAGCGATCGAGGGAGAAGGGCCTTAGTCAGGGAGGTAACCAAGCACCCGATGGTCACTCTACAAGAGCTCCAGCGTTTCTCTGTGGAGAGATGAGAGCCTTCCAGAAGAACAACCATTTCTGCAGCACTCCACCAATCAGGCCTGTATGGTAGAGTGGCCAGACGGAAGCCACTCCTCAGTAAAAGGCAAATGGCAGCCCGCCTGGAGTTTGCCAAAAGGCACCTGAGGGACTCTCAGACCATGAGAAACAAAACTCTCTGGTCTGATGAAAAAAGATTGCACTCTTCGGCCTGAATGCCAAGCGTCATGTCTGGAGGAAACCAGGCACCGCTCACCACCTGCCCAATACCATCCCCACAATGAAGCATGGTGGTGGCAGCATCATGCTGTGAGAATGTTTTTCAGCGGTAGGAACTGGGAGACTAGTCAGGATCAAAGGAAAGATGAGTGGAGCAATGTACAGAGACATCCTTGATGAAAACCTGTTCAGAGCGCTCTGAACCTTAGACTGGGGCGACGGTTCATCTTTCAAGAGCACAACGACCCTAAGCACACAGCCCACATAACAAAGGAGTGGCTACGGGCCAACTCCGTGAATGTCCTGGAGTGGCCCAGCCAGAGCCCAGACTTGAACCTGATTGAAAATCTCTGGAGAGACCTGAAAATGGCTGTGCACCGACACTCCCCATCCAACCTGATGGAGCTTGAGAGGTACTGCAAAAAAGAATAAGATAAATTGCCCAAAAATAGGTGTGCCAAGCTTGTGGCATCATACTCCAAAACGACTGAGGCTGTAATTGGTGCTAAAGGTGCTTCAACAAAGTATTGAGCAAAGGCTGTGAATACTTATGTACGTGTAGGTTTTTTTTTTTTTTCGTTTTTTAAATTTCAAAGATTTTAAAACTAACTTCTTTCAGGTTATTATGGGGTATTGTTTGTAGAATGTTGAAGAAAAAAATAATTTTAATCCATTTTGGAATAAGGCTGTAACATAACAAAATGTGGCAAAGGTTAAGCTCTGTGAATACTTTCTGGATGCAGTGTACCTGCCTATTACACAGTGCAAATGGACGAATCTCCCACTCTGGCTATTGTACTCAAACCTGTTCATGGTACCCAAGCCCAAGGTAGGTATTCATCCTATCCTGTACATAAAATCCATCAACAAATCCCCAAATTTCTCATGGAATCCACGGCCTGTTGCCTCGCTAAGACCAGGAGAATAAATGGCATCCATGGACAACCAAGATGCCAAGATGTGCATGTTCCCAATTACCCATTTCATCAGTGATTTCTGTGTGTAGTGGCAGACAACTGTTACCAGTTTTACACTGCCCTTTTTACCTATCCTCTGCTTCCAGGGTGTTCACAAATATCTTAGTACCTTTGCTTGCCCACCTTATAACCAAGGCATTTAAGTGACAGGCTATCTAGATAATCATCTCCTGAAGGATTCGTCTCCCCTAAAACTCTCTGCAAACATCTAAAAGACAACTCTGCTGCTCCAGGCATTTGGCTGGGTGATCAATTTCAACAAATCTGTTCTCCAGCCTTCCCTTTGCCTGGAATACTTGGTTCTAATCCTGGATACAGCCCAAGCAGAAGTCTTTCTTTAAAAAACAAAAATGGTTTCTTTCTCTAAATGCTCATGCTCGACATCTGAGATCCAAAAGAAATATCATAGTGAGGCTTGCTTAACCTTTCTGTAACAGTGGGAAAATCATTCCCTACAGTTGGAAAGCTCTTACTGTAATCGTAGCACATACTGCGCCCCTCACAAAGCTGTGTGAAAGGGCAAGGATGCCATGTTCAAAGTTCAGCCATGAGAGTCTGTAACACAAATTGGTGATAAGCCGCAGTGGTCCTCTTTTCTTCATTCCCCCCCCCCCCCTCAGGAAGTATCTGTTGCAATACACAAACTGATAACTGATGCCAGATCAGATCAGGAGAGATGCAGACCCTCTCATACCTATTAGCGAATCCACACTTCAGTCTGAAAACCCAAATAAAAATGTCTGTCTGACTTGCCTGCTTGAGTGACTGGAGTTTTAACAGACATCTTCCAGCTCTCCCCCAATCATAAATAGAATAGCAATACACATTCCTGGTAGGCTGGTTATCAGGCAAGACTCTAAAACTTCAGTATATTTCATAACTCATGAAATAATAATAGCAGAGCCAGAATCCGGACATACAGGTCTCAGCATAAATGAGTACAAACCAACAGATTTGTCAGAGAACCTTTACTTTCCTTTCAGAATCAGCATTTTCTATGGGACACTATACTACCAAATAATCCACAAATGCTGGCCATTGATTGCGAACAAGATTTGTTCATTTGCACACACAAAAAAGTATTTTTCCTAACAAATTCATTCAAGACCATGTTGCAAAAATGAATACACCCCAATGAAAGTCTTAGGAACAAAGCTAAATTTTAGACAACAAAATCCTAATTAACAAGAATTCAACTTTAGTTGAGTCTAATTATCCATTAAACAGGTGTTCAAAAGACAGTTGATTATAAAAGGATGTTACTTGACAAAGAAGACCCCTTCCCATTTCATGCTGTCTTCAGTGGCACCACATGGAAGAGAAATGTCACAAGGCCTGAGAAAGAAAATTAATTTATTTACACAAGAAAGAAGGGTTGAAGAAAATCACCATGCAAGTTCACTGCAGTTAGCTAAAGAAGTAGAAAACCAAATAGGGGTGATTGTTTCCTGTGACACAGTACGGCGTACACTGCAGAGGATGGCATGCATGGGTGTCATCCACGAAGGAAGCCTCTCCTAAAGCCCATGCACAAAAAAGCCTGCCTAGAATTTGCCAGGACCCATGCGGAAAAAGACTACTGGGACTCTGTACTCTGGAGTGATGAGACCAAGATAAATGTTTTTGGAACTGATGGTTTCAAAACTGTATGGCATCGCAAAGGTGTGGCGTACAAAGAAAAATGCATGATGCCTACAGTGAAACATGGTGGTGGCAGTGTCCGTCTGTGGTGTTGCATGAGTGCTGCTGGTGTCAGGGAGCTGCATTTTATTGATGGCATCATGAATTCACATATGTACTGCTCTACATTGAAAGAGAAGATGCTACCATCACTCCGGGCCCTTGGTCGTCATGCACTTTTCCAACATGACCATGATCTAAAACACATCTAAGGCCACTGTTGCATTTCTGAAGAAGAACAAGGTAAAAGTGATTCAGTGGCCAAGTATGTCTCCTGATCTGAATCCAGTCGAACACCTATGAAGAATTGTGAAGAGACAATTTTAGCATCACTT